TTTTGCACTTACTGTATATATATATATATATATATATATACAGTAAGTGCAAAAAGTATTCGTACAGAGAAATTTTTTATAAAAAATGTATGCAGAACTTCCTCATTTACGATGGGTAATGATTTGACACTGGATAACTCTACTTATTATAGCAAGTATGTTAATATTATTCGAAAAGCGTGTTTGAAAAAACTTTTTTAGTTTAAATAACACAGGTTTCTGTATCATTATTTTTTGTAAGCTGATTCTATCAGAACAAAAGATGCATACTTTAAAGATTAATACTTGAGTGAATTAAATATAAACGAGAATTTTTTTCTTATTATTTACGAGAATAAAAATATAAAGGAAATAAATTATTTTTCTATATAATACTTTGCTACATTAATATACTTTTGCCAACGGATAGGCAGTTTGGTGATCCCGTTTTATAAAAAATAATAGGTTGTGTTTGCAGCTAATTGTGCAAGAATTCCTCTTCACTGATATCGTTCACGAATCGTATTGTCCTCCCAATTCTTCTTTCAGTAATACAAACAAATAATAATTGTATGGAAAGATTTATCTCAATGCGAATATCATGTTTGAGCCACTAAAAGAATGGAGAGGATTCTTGGATAATACCAGTGTAGAAGAATTCATGCACAATTAGCTGCAGACACAACCTATTACTTTTTTATGAGTAGGGGATCGCTAAACTGTCTATCCGCTGGAAAAAATATATCAATGTGCAGGGAATTATGTAGAAAAATAATTTGTTTTTTTTTAGATTTTTATTTTTATCTATTAAATAATAAAAAAAATTTTCAGTTTTATTTTGATTCATCTTCGTATTTTTTTTATTAATCAAATTTATTCAAATACATTGAATCATATGTATATGCGAAATATGAGTATGAACAAATGCGAACCGCATCTTTTAAAAAGTTTATTAGAGATTTGGTTTACGAAGAGTACTGAGGTCACTTTTGGAATGTTTCGCTTGTTTCGTCTTTTTACTCTTGCAAACATGACATTGGGAACGCTAATGATTGACTTTATTCTCCTTTGTTGTATGTCCTGATTGTGAATTGATTTGTAAAGGAGTTCTAACATCTCTGAAATCTTCTTAGATTTAATCGTCAGAAAGTTTGGGAAACATATTTCGATTGTTCCTTGCAGTTACTGCATTCATCGTGCTGATTAATTCGGAATTGCACTGAAGAGCATGTGTAACGATTGAATCGCAATAAATACTTCAACTATAATTAAAACAAAATTGTAACATACTTTGTGTGTTAGAGTAATATGGACAGATTAAAAAATGTTTCATATTCCTTTAAGGCTTGCAATTTATTTTTCTTTACATTTTAAGTGAAATATGAGAACGGAAAAGTTTGAATCTAAAATATATAACGTTATTTGATGGAAAGGCTCCATTTGCCTACAAAACGATTGTTTAGTTTCATTTGCACACAGTATATTACACACACGACAATATTGCACACAGTATATTGCATACATGACGATATTGGTTTAGTTTATGTCGTATACTTGATACATACTAACTAGTAAATTTCTATTAAATTATTTTAATGTTTATAGCGATGCGTTTAAAGAATGATGTATTGAATTTGTACATAATATTAGTCTCAATCTAAAAAAATTTTTTTAAAGATATAAATTTTTTGTAGGTTGCTAGTCTTAATATTTTAAATCAAATATTCGAAAATTATTCCTTGCTGGATAATTAACAATTTATTCATAAAGAATAAAATATATAGACTGTATGTTTTTTAAAATTATACAATATATACTAGAAAAATGTGTATAATTATAAAAAATATGTCATCTGAAAAAAAGTAAAAATTACAAATTGTATTGTTTAAATACTCAAAAAGTATTCGTACAGTCGAGAAATTTAGCTTCTAAAATCAGGAATATATGCGAGGCTTGTTTTTTTATTAGGATAGAATGTATTCATTGTATAAAATTATTAATTAATGCTTATTTAGTCTAAATAAGACTTTTTTTATAAAAAATTTCTTTGTATGAATACTTTTTGCACTTACTGTAATATGTGCAGAACTTCTTCATTTACGATGGATAATGATCTGACATTGTATAACTCCACTTATTACAGCAAGTTGTTAATATCATTCGAACAAGCGTGTTTAAAAATACTTTTTTAGTTTAAATAATTTGTTTTTCAATATATATTATATAATTCATCTTTCCATATTAATAATATTATGTTTTTTTTATTAAAAAATATATATAATATGCATAGAAATTTCTTGGATTCTTCGGCCGCTAGTGTGCTAATATTAGGGGGCTCCGATCCTGTTCATTATCACGTCGAGTTAAAATATATCAATGTTACCCATAAAGGATACTGGCAATTTGCTATGGACAATTATGATATTATTTCCTAAATTATACATACATCATTTGCGGATTATATATGAGATAATTATCAATATCGCACTGTCAAGTGGCAGCATTCAAGTGGAAAATAAAACCTAATGTGAAAGTGGTTGTCGAGCTAACTTCTGGTAATATAAAAATAATTTTCAGATTATCATAATATTTCATATTTTAGGAAGCATTTTTTAAAAATCAAATTCTACAATTTCTTTTGAAATTTTTGACATTTAAATTAAAAAATATTCGTTTTTATCGATTAAGAACTATATTTTTATGCGATTTTTAATAATAAATTTTTATTTGTCCCTCTTATGAAAATGAGAATATAAAATATCGATAAATCTATAAAATTAAATGCTGATAATAGCTAAAAAATGAACCGAAATATTTAATTATGTAATTACATACAATAAAACAAATTATATATTGTTTTTAGATAAATGTTAGCATATTGTTTAAAGCGCTGACTCTCAATCGCTTTCATTATTTCAGTTATTTGTTACTACATTTATCATTTGTAAACCTATTAAGACAAACAGTACATAATTTTAAAATTAACATCTTTTTCAGATTTATTTAAATACATCGAGTCGCGATAACGCAAAAGTGAGAAATATCCTTAAATGAGAAACACGATTTTTCAAAAGTTCATTAGGGATTACTTACTGAAAAGAACCAAGATCGTTTTCAAAACGCTCTATTTGTTCAATTGTCCTTTTCATCCATTCCTAAACACAATCACGTACATAAACTCGTAAACAGCATTGGGAATGCTAACGATTGACTTTGGTTTTGTATACTGTTATGCCGACTGTGAACTGATTTGAAGAAGATTCGAGTTACAACGCATCTAAAATGTTCTTGATACTTTATTTGTAGTTCTAATTGCTACAAAATTCGAGAAATATGTTTCGATCTTTTGTATTAATCATGACACTCGTCGAGTTGATCAATTCTAAATTGTTAAGGTGAGATAGTGAAAATGTTGATTTATGATAAATACTTGAACAAGAATTAGAACAAAACTAAGTAGAAACATATCCTTGGGTGTAAGAATCTTATGAAAAAGACATTTGAGCATCATTTTGATGCTCGGAATTTTATTATCTTTATGTCTTAAGTGAGATAAAACTATATATATATATATATATATATATATATATATATATATATCACAATTACACGAAGATGTAATATGTAAATATCGTACAACATACGAATTTCAGATAAATTAATTAATCATTCTAAATTTAATTTCTTCTTATTTTTGAACATTACTTATGCTTCAACATTTCAGTTTTTAAGTAATGAATGCAATACACTTTAATCTATTTATGCATTAAAATAATGTATACATATTCTAAATGCGAATATCAGTTTCCGTGATGTTTTATCTTACTTAAGACACACACACACACACACACACA